TGGGGTGGACCACACGCGCCGACCAAAGGGCTCAGCGTCACGACGAAGACTAGGCGCGTGAGAAGCGCACGCGCCGGCGACGGGGACGGGCTTTCAGGCGATGACTCGTCGAGTCACGTCGGAGATGATGGCGCGGGAGGTGAGAACCGGTGCTGGCCAGAGATGTGCCACAAAAGAAAAATCTATAATGGATCCTAAACCTAGTCTGATACCATGTGAGAATTTGGGAAAAATATGTTGTATTTTTCAAAAGACATGTACACATATATATAGGAACATAATGAGCCTAAATCTAATCCTACAAGATATAGACAAAATATATTATAACCATATATACAATATATTCTAACATACTAATATATGCTATCCATATATACAATATATTCTAACATACTAATATATGCTATCCATATATACAATATATTCTAACATGATTTATGAGATATGTTACGGCCCCGTTACGGAACTATTATGTTGGAGTTTGTAACCATTAGATCCAAAGGCGGAGTCACGTTATAATCTTCCCAGGCTTTGGGCCGGATAGAATTTTGGGAGTATGTACATAATATATATATATATATATATATATATATATATCTAATTAAGAATAATATAACATTTAAATTTATATATACTTCAAAATTATATAATTTATTTATATATATAATAAAATTAAAATTAAACAATCTTTATAATGTTAGTCCAATTATTTCATATATATGGCATAATCACATCAAATAAAATTGTCAGAATAATTTTAAATTAAATAACCATCTTATAGATTACAATTTTGGGGGTTCTATGACAAAGTTAAAAAGTTCCTAGAAATTTGAGAAATAATTTATTCAACAAGTTAAATTTATTTCTAACAAGTGTTCTATTTCTCTCTTTTTTTTTTTCTTGTTGACATAATGAAATGTCATTGACTTTTTTTTAACTCCATTCCTAAATTTACACTAGAAAATAATTTAGTTAAAATAAATTTAAAAAAAATACTGCAAAAGCATTTAAAAAATAACATTTTTATCGTAAT